GGACTTTGATTTTAAAAAGCTTGTCCATCTAATAACCTAAGAATCCTTTGACCCACAGTCTTCATATTTAGCATGGAGGTTGGTCATGACCATTTGGCCATTTGACCCCTGTTGATTTTGAGGTTACTTTTTCAAAGGTCAAGTCAAAGGCGCCTTGAGTTCAAAAAGATATTCCGTTCAATTGCTAAAGAATGCTTTAGTCAACAGTCTTCATATTTAGTATTGAGGTAATTTATGACAAGTGCATGATCCTCATTGATTTTGAGGTCTCTAGGTCAAAGGTGCCTGTGTTATATGTCAAGGTTACAGGGGCTTTTATAACAATTAGCTGAAATGCTTAAGAATGCCTGCCCACAGTATATTGATTTTGACATTTTCACATTTGAAGCATTTAATTATGTTCTCATTATTCGTCATAAAACACCCCCAGGTCACTTTGATCTTTGACACTAAAAACATGTACAATACATTACTTAGCAATGCACTGGCTTACTACCCTCAGATATGGCTGGGAGGTTGCCCTTGAGCTCTAAATGACCACTGTTGATTCTGCGAAAGTAGTATGCGGGGGTATTTACGCTGTGTCGGTAGCAGTTCTAGTTTTTTATGCGGTATTCAAATCTCCAATACTAACATTTTTAGAATTAATTATCCCGAAGATTAATATATGTATAAAGAACGTAATTTGTTATAGTAGTCAGGTTTAAATAAATGAATGGTGATTTGGTGTATGTAGACTGACGAACGATGACTAATGCAAAGTGTTCGCATGTATTGCATGATTAAACAACAACTTATCAAAGAATCGTATATATATGATGAATGATATGTTGCACGTGCATTAAGAATCGTGAAGATAATACAGAAATAATTTATTAAAACTATATATGAGTAAGTTAAATGAAACATGATATTACAAATTCATTTAGGTATATTAAGCTAATATATCTCTATTTGCCTGCAGTATCCAAAAATATGTTTTAGTTTGAAAAAAAAAAAAAATCCAAAATGCCTTGTACATGAAAGAAATATTTTTTTGTAATTTCCCTAACAGCGGATGGAGATTGCACGAAATATTTGCTAAACGCTTAAAACCCTACTTAAAACTGCAGAATAATATTTTGTTCCGGAACGTTTTATTATCTTTATAAAAAAAATGTCATGCATGTTTAATACCAGCATTTTTCTACGGTACCATTCTTTCGAGAATCGAACATTTAATTATGGAAGCAACATCAGTCTACTGTTTTTAACTTTAATAAAATGTTTCATTAGATATACCTAAATTCTCTTCACTGTTTTTAACTTTAATAAAATGCTTCATTAGATATACCTAAATTCTCTTTAACGGAATGGTCACCACACATTAATCATTCTATTGTGACATCAATCAGATCTATTTTGTAAAGCAAACACATCTTTAATCACAAACTACTTGATTGAACTAGGAAACTTCTTGAAAGATTATATATATATATATTTTGTATTTATTTTTTAAAGGATGACACATACAGTTTCGATTGATGTATAAAATGCTCATTACAACCATGATTCATGGTAAATTCCATGGTAACTTCCGTTTCTTTGATGTCATGCTCATGCTCGACTTCATAAATGATTATAGAGATTTTAAACCAATTGTAATCAGAAATGAATAATAAAACAGGATGTATCGTTATTGTCTTGGACAGTGAACATTCAGGAAACTTCATGAGATATCATCAGATGATTCAGTAATATATAACAATAACACAATACGATATTGTAATTTTACAATGGAACCAGAGGGTTCCGGTTAATTGAATCCTGTACGTATATGTCTCAGCGGAAGTAGGTAGATACAGAACATGAAATTGCTCTACTGTTACATGTGTTATAATCTGTGTGTATCAAGATGAAGTATAAAGAGTAAAGAAATAATATTATGAATCTTGAATTTATGATAATTAAGGTGAATTAAGTGCATCAGTCAGATGTAACCCGAACCGTACCATCCCAGATAAATTTAACATTTGGATGTTCAACCAGGTAAAGACCATATTATATGTTGTAAGATTGTCAGATTGTAATATTTCTACAATGCCGTTTGGAGTTTACATTTTGAAGCTTACAGTTATAATTAATCTTTAGTTCTTTGACACCAACAAAATTAAGCCGCATACTCTTGTTGGCAGCGCGTTGAGGGACTGAAGGTTAAAATTCTTCTCAAGTAATCCCGCTATATCCCGCACAGTCTCGGTAGTTTGGGCGGGGTTGTAACTGAATGACGCAAAGAAAAGTTGTCTTTACGTTAAACTTCTTTAGAATATGATACCTTTTACAATATAGTTGTTTTAACTCAGTTCAAAGATATTTAAATAAATAGTCATCATCATCATGAGAGCCGGCGTCAGCTGTTTTACCTTAATCAACATTATCAATTCAAAAGTTGTAGTTTCAAGGCCTTATTATGTAGATAATTTTTATTAATTTAAAGCTTTCTTTGACCTGTTATTTATTAATTACGTAAAATCACTGACCTGTAAATTTCAAACTGTGTCACTATGAACAAACTGGCCTTTCAATGAATGGAAGTGTATTGACCAGAAACTTCAAATTTTGTATGTTGTTTTAACTAAATGATTTCTACCTGCAACTTTATTTCCGGACAAAAAACATCAACTCATTGAATAAAGGTCAATTGAATAAGAGGTTAAAGTCTGAATTGTATTGCAACTTGATAAAACCTACCACATCTGTTTATAAATCGAAAGGTAAAGGTCACGGTCAATCGTTCCTTAAATTACAAAACAAAAACGTGACATTTGAACAAAATGACATGACCCTGAAACTTCAACTTTTAAATGAGGCGTTATACATGTCACATCCATTTGTTGTGTCAATACGTCAAATGTCAAAGTCAAAATGCATTGACCTTGGACCTACTTTACTTTGTATTTGACGGCATCTTAAAGGACTTTTAACAGAATTGGACAGTTTTTTCTTCTTCAGAATTTAGATACCGTTTAATGTAGATCAAATAAACGAAAGATTTGAGTGCTAAATTTCAGATTATTCCCTTGATCCTTTTTTACTATACAAAATGACAACAACAACAAAAAACGAAACGCTTTTAGACAATATCAACTCAGTTTGACTGAAAATCGTACTAAAAATCAATTTTCAGTTTCATCTATATTTAGTTTGCATTATTTTGCACTTTCGAATAAATCGGTAGGACAACATAAATTTGTGAAAACTCTCGTCAAATAACTCAGACACGTACATTCAAAAGTCGAATATATTATTATATAATTTATAGATACTCGATAAACAATAACTATCATAAAATATATTGTTGCAATTGTAATTACATAATTATGTATTAATAATATATGAAGCAACTTTTGAGTTAAGCAAACATCTTTTGCCTTCCAGCAATACCACACGACTAACAGTTGTTAGACGGCGCGTGCACGCGCCGTCTAGTAGATATGCATTTGTCCGTATAGCAATGGGGAAAATATTTAACTTGATTTTGTGCATTTTTTTTTTTGTTTTAACAAAATCAAATTGTTTTCAAATTTTCTAATAAAAATAGCTTTTCTGATGTACAACATGTCACAGAGCTTTTAATGATTAACATAAACGTTTAACTGAAGTGATAGTTTCATGTTTAAATATTATATTCCTTTTTAATTGTCTTATTTTATCTACCTCATAAATAACGTGCAAATGAGCCAGTCTATATAGAGTGAGACTAAAAAAAAGAATTGGAGCACCACACTTAATACCGTACCGTATTCCGGTATATATCGGGCAAGGCGCTTGAATCATAAAAAAAATCTTGCCTTTTAACGCAACGGAATGAACTTTAATAGGTCTTATTCATCTTTTCACACCGATTTATGTATGATAATGAATGAAAAATGTAAAAATCGGCGAAAAAAAACGATATTAGTCTATTTTGTGATCATGGTTTCTGCAAGCGTCTAGAGGTACTGCTCCAATCCTGTATTGAGTTAAATCCTTCTATAGTCGATCGTTTTAAAACCCGTTGAGACCCGTCTATAATCTAATGACGGGCAGGGAACAAGAGGTATCACTAAAATATGCAACGGGGATTATTTTGGCGCTACGGACACAGCGGAAATATTTTTTGAAAGACAGGCAAAACGTGTGCGGCATGTTATTCATTTAAATAATTAACATTTAAGTTACAAAACAGATTAAGTGAGTGAAAAATGTACGCTTATTTTAAAACGTATCACAAATATTTGCAATAGGTTATTTTGAAGGATTCTGTGACCGACGATTGTTCTCTTTTGCCTAGATTTTTTATAACATTTTGTGGTCAAATACCTAGATTCTAGGCGAATATGCAATCTTTTGTTTATTCAAGTAGTTTAATCTTTTATAAATAAGTAAATAATACGTAACAAATAATTGATTATATATATAAATTTATTCATACCTATTATTTGATATTACAGACATATTTTCGCTATTTGTAAAATAACAGTTCGTCCTCAAAATCATTCGAACATTATGCAATTCGCACCAATATTTAAATTGACAAATTCTCGGCACATATTGTCTTAAATTTATTTTAAGTTTACCAATAATTTCAATTTCACTTGTTATCCAATTTATTTTGCTTTGACCAGACGTTTCAATCTTTGTCGCAACAGACAAACATTTGAGAATTTCAGACACATACCAAGAACATGGAGAAAAAATAGTAAGTGCTTCGGATATTCAACTGTAATAGAAATCGATTTTCAACTCTGATTTTGTACATTACCTGTGACTGTTCACATCACTTGGCGGCGTATTTGATGTGCAGCATCAACATTTAACTTGTATATAACTTAAAATATACAAGTGTCCCCAACATAATGAATATAAACATTTGTGAAATATGAAAAACAAGATCAACAAAGAAAGGCGGCGTTCAATGAACGCAACCCCCACATGACCCAGCAACAATAACCAATGGCAATTCGATTTATCTGAAAAACATTATATTAGAAAACACCCTTTACAAAACAAGCATTTCGACTAAATATATATATGTATTACTTTTTTATTTCAATGATTTTCGTAAAACATCTTGTTCACTAACTTTGAATGATCTGGAAATAAGTAACGATGCACCCACTAGACATCATCAAATGAGTGTTTCTCGAAATGTGTAATAAAACCGTCCCCTGAAAAAAGAAAGATGGCTAACAATTTAATTGTGCTCATACAATTCAAAAACGAATAATATGATATTACAAATAATGCCTTGTTGTTTGAATTTTATCTGAAGCTGAAGCTGAACTTTTATTAGAACAAACAAACAAGTACTGGTGTCATAACAGAAAACATGGCCGTTATCCTCAGTAGGATTCGAACCCTGACGTACCTGGTTAAGGGGCAGACACCCAACAACTAGGCCACCGCATGCTACACTTAATCATTGTAGTGTTTTGTTTCAGTGATTTTTATTTGTGATTTTCTACTAACTTCACGGACGAATACGAAATTTCCCGACGCGACAATATTTCATTGCGTAATATTGCTTTAAAAATATAACGTAATTAAATAGATATAATATCTAAAATAATCTATTCGCTACCGGCAATAATCTATAAAACTATAACTAAAGAATCAATCATCTAATAGTTTATGATTGAACGTAAAATGAAATATACGAAATAAATTCGTTAACAATTGTATATATTGTGTATGAATTTTGCATTTTAGTCGTTTGATATGCTTGTTGCAATGTTATTGATTCAATGATCATTGCCAATCCCAATAGTCATTTTCCTAGTCAATGTAGTGCATTAAGTAATTAATATTTTAAACAGTTTTCAAACTGCAATTATAATGATTGTAAACCATGTATAGTCAACAGTTACAACTACTAGATCAATATGCAAGAAAAGCTGCGAAATGTATTTCAAAATCGTCTTTTCTTGTACAATATTATGAATTTCTATTGATACTCATTATTACATTTTATGATAAAAGTATGTTATTGACTTAACACAATTTACATAAAAAATTATATGTATTCATTTGAGCATATTATGGCCGACAAAAAGGCGTCGGTACCATAGCTTTATACTAAGTGTGGGATATCATCTTTATTGCTCAACTTTTTTTGTATTCTGCTACAGTTTCCAAAACGATATTCTACATACGCATTGGCCATATTGATGAAACATATGTTGACTTTTGGTCACAATTAAGGTTAAAGTGATTGAGTATTGCTACTTTTATGATAAACTTTTTACAATTTCACTCTACTTAAAAAGCATTTAGAATGTAAATCCATCATTCAGACAAAGTTAAGCACAAGTTATAAAAATGCATCCATATCGAAGTTTACTTGTACCTTTTAATCAGTTATGTTATAAGGTAAATAAATGAAGCATATAATAGTTTGAAGTATGTCAATTCTTACCATCAATGTCAAATAATTCTCCAACCCATTTTGTCAACAAAGCATGTTTCCCTCTACATAAATCCAATACAAACTCCGCTATAAATGATACTGAAATTTAAAAAACAAAATAGGTTTTCTGTAAATCATGTGAACTTTGATTGTGTTATGAATACAACTAATCATAACAACGGGTGATTTAATTTAGAGTACAAATTGAGCATTTTTTTCATTTTCAATTTTTGACATGAGATATATTGCACGTCAAATTTACATTATACAGTCATGAAAATATTTATTTACTTACATTTCATTTGACATAACTTGGTCTTCATGGCTTTATACAGCTTCTTTTTGCCTTCAAAATTCCTACACAGCCCATGCATAGCGTAATGATGGATCGACCTGCATAAAAAGATATATATGTGTGTTTAATAGTTTAGTCTGATACTCACTAAATATGACACACAAATATAATAAGTATGTCTTTAATGGTTGACAACGGTGTTCCGTTCTAAAGTAATCATGACAAATTTTCAACATCATTGAAAAGCGATTTTGCAAATAATGAAGTTAATATTTGTTATTTGTATTGGCCTACTGTTAAATACTATTAATGTCTGTGTGTGTGTCTTTGCGTACGTGCGTGCGTGTGTGTGTTTTGTAGTTGTTGTTGTTTGTATGTAACATAAAAACACTACAAAAGTTGTAGTTGTTTTTTCTCGAATAAAACTGTGCACGGACTCACAGACTTTCATAGTTTTACTTTTTTATCATTGCAGTGATTTCTGATTTAAGATTGTACAGATTGGTTTAAATTCTTCTCAATGAATCTTTATTTAATGACATTAAAAAGTGTGTATATGTACATGAATAAGTAAAGCATGTCATTCTTCGGATTTTATAATTCAATGTTATATTCTTTTCGAACAATTTTAAATGTTTACATAACAGGATAACTGATTTGACATCTGTTAACTGTATAGTTTGAATTACGTTAGTAACTATTTATCTCTTCACTTACGTGTGGTGCATACTCGGTGCTGTCCTTGGTAAATAAATTGGGCCATTATCGCCTACCACAACCTGCGTTACATTATTGTCCATCAATAGTCCATACTGTTGAGTTAATCTAAAAATAGTTTCTACTGCAGCTATTGTTTCTAAGATACACAGTCCAACGGAAACCATATTCTATTAATTGTTATGATTCTTCTTTATATAAATCCAGTAAGCAGGGAAAAACAAAAGTAGCCTTTAATCCATAATAAATAATGTTAACAATTGAAGATTCCCTTCGTCTGCTTGTCCACTTACATTTTCAAAATATTACACAACTTATATGGTGATAATAGTGAAACTGTTGCGCTAATCGTTTGACTTGATTTTAAAATACAATGTATAAATAATTAATACAAAGCCATCCGTTATTGCATTGTATTAACACGATCAATAATCAATTTAGCTGCTGCTGTTATAGCGTAATAACTGTCTCTTTTTTGGAAAGCACTGTGCATTTCAATTTTAAACTCCACGATTCTTCTTTTATCATAACTTTATATTATCTCTATCAAACACAAACATGAAAACTTACGATAATTGAACACAAGTACATTTTCAACCGCATAGATATAGTTTTACGTATTATGCACCCCACAAAATCTTGTTTCTCTTTCATGTCTATGCTATGGTAATTCTAGGAGCACAGATTTTCCATGTCACTGTTTCCTAGAATTATTGTTCTTGTCAGAGAAATTGTGTTTGTCAAACACTATCAATCTTTTCCAAGAAACTAATATATCTTATTTCAGCAGGAAAATGCGATACAAACTTCTGTTATATACCTGTTATATACCGTAATTGAAATGTACGATGTTAATTGCGATATATATCATGACTACCACAACACCGTTTATAATTATCTCGAGAATGTTTTTGTAAGATTAACCTTTGGAATCTTGTATAAATCCACAGGGAGCAAAAAGCTGTTATTGTAGTTCAATAAGAAACTGGTATAATTACATTCTGCAAGTCAATATGATATACTTGCTGATACCAGAGCTCGCCGACTGTAAAACTGCTTATATTGGAGTAAGTACGTATATTGTGTGACTTTTCCCTAATGTACAACTTTCGTTTATTTATCCTTTTTCTTATACGTATTACTTCAAATCAATGAAAGTGTTTTACGGTAATAAATATTGTGTAAATTACATTTATGTTGATTATTCATAATCTTCATCTTTCTATTACTTTATTTATTGTAAATTATATAAAGATCTAGAGTTAAAACTCAAATGCGAACAGCAATTACTCATTAGTATCCGTGATGTTTACATGTTGACAACTTTTTGATTATTTAGGTGGATTTAAAGTGCTGTTTGCAATGTGTAAATTACTTTCTTTGATCACTTCACAATATTTTACTTTTAAATACATTTCAACATTTTCATGAAAATTAACATTAATCTGCTTCTTTAATACCTACATCAAACAAAAAATCAAAATGGTCATACAAGAGTTGATATGGTTTAGATACCAACAAAGGGAACTTTTCAAATGACATTCCTGAATTTCAAATAGCTAAAAAAAACTGTAAAGCATCACATTGCAAATAAAAAACAAATACGAAATTATGAAAAATATTTTTTTGTATTTTTATTTGATCTCATTCTTTCAAAATTGGTTAAGTTCTTTCCGTACTTTTATTTAAACATATAAAAGGTTGCTTCCATTCCAATGATTAAAACCTAAAATTGAATTTTATAACTGATTTTGCAGTAATGTTAATCAATAACTTAATTATTTTGTTCAACAAAGAGCAGATAGCTAAATATACGTACGTCCAATATAATACTAGAAACACATAATATACGTTTTCATTACACGTTATCCCGTTTAAATTTTTAGATCAATTATATTACCCAGTTTCTTATGTTTTATGTTTTTTAAACTAAAACAAAGTTGAGCACCTGCTACCCGTTTAAGGTATAGTGTTGCAATACATTACAATGTTTTTTTTGTTCATAAAAAAAACTTGTCACGTAACAGAGTTGCTGGTCATGAAGCTAATATATAGGTTCTTATCTGTTTTAACGAAATATCATATACCACATTTCACAACGCTTTTTTATAAAAGATTTTGAATTTTATCCTTCAAATCATAAACTATAAATATCGACACGAAAAGCACGACACGATTGCGATACATTCAAAATTAGGTCATAGTCATTTCATTTTGTATTTTCTTTTGAACTTAAGGTGAGATTTATTAACCAATTAAAATTCTCAATTACATGTAGCATATTGAAATATAATTTGAAATCAAATGTTTTCTCATTTCTTCTCATGGTATTGAAGGCATAGTATGTGTAATTATTCTGAAGATAAAATTGTATGAGCTTTTAGTTACTTATTCCATATTGAAGTTTGATAAAAAAAATGTAGCAAACACAACATTCCAATCGTCATATTTGTAAAAAAAAACAGTTACACTTGACAAATAAATATTTGTTCAAAGATGTATAAAAGGTAATATTTCAGTAAGATTCCACTTAGTAAAACTATTATAAAGTATTATTTTGCACATTTTGTCTAGTAGGAACATTTCTACTTACAAAGGAGTCTAAATGACAAAATGGAATTCCGACACATTCCCATTGTACCACTGCCGTTCATTAACGAGCTAAAGTTAAAAAATGACTGCAATTTTTTAAATTTTTCACGGTATTATATATTGATTTTTTATGCCCCAGCAATATAATGGCTGGGGCATATAGTGTTACCCTGTTCCGTCATTCCGTCCTTCCGTTCTTCCGTACTTCCGTCATTCCGTCATTCCGTCATCATTTGTTTCCGTTCATTATCATAATAACGGTTGCACACATTCATCTTAAATTTGGCATATGGATATATCATGAAAAAATACAGGTCAACTTTGAATTTGGTTATGGTTCGATGATTTTTGGCAGAGTAATGCCCCTTTTACTTTGAAAATGATATGAAATATTCAGTTTCCGTTCATTATCTCCCCAACGGTATTACACATTCAACTCAAACTTAACATATGGATATGTCATGAGACAATACAGGTCAAGTTCGAATTTGGTCATGGTTGGATGATTTTTGTCAGAGTAAAGCCCCTTTTACTTTGAAAATAATATGAAATTTTCAGTTTCCGTACTTTATCTCACCAACGGTATTATACATTCAACTCAAATTTGACATACGGATACGTCAAAGAAATGCGCAGGACAAGTATGAATTTTGTCATGATTCTATGATTTTTGGCATTCAACTCAAATTTGACATATAGATACATCTTAAGAATGAGCAGTTTAAGTTTGAATTTGGTCGTGATTCAATGATTTATGACAAAGTTATCTTTCTTGAATGTTGGAAAAAAATTGAATTTTCAGTTTCAGCACTCATGCTCTTGTGGAAATGTATGTAGCCATTAGTTTGGCTACAAATATGCAATATGCAATTTACAAAAGGTTAACATTAAATAGTTTCAGTGCCTTGAACTTTGTATAAAAATGGTTTGTGTTAATATTGAAAAGTTTTAAGGGCTTTGAACTTAAAATGAAAAAAATAATTTGGGCAAACAAATTTGGAACTAAATATAAAAACATCTGAAATTTTGGTTGCATGCGGGGGGCATCCGTTTCATTTCTTAAAATACCGTAATTAATCAACAATAGTGTTCCATCTATTGATATTTAGATCGAAGAAATAAGAGGGATATCAAAAATAGATTAATGGAGCAGATAAGAGCAGATTTTTCATCTTTTTTTAAATTTTAAATATTGAATGACAGAACAATGCACATGCAACGTCTGGCGAATTTCATATTACCATTTAGTAAGAAGCTGCTTAAGAAGTTTGCAATGTGAGATAATTTAAGTTGTTAAATGAACTTTGATTTTGACAATTTTGTTCCAATAACGTACATGACATTACCAGTTTATTCAATACATATCTCAAATTGCTAACATTTTCATCATCAAGTGCAAAACCTTTGGTAGGTGTTTTTATGACAACAAAGGAAACTTTTTAAAAACTCTCAAATTAAAATGTTTTTGATCTTACAAATATCTTGTTGCAATCATTACAGATAGTAATTCAACTAGATAGTTATCCAAACAATTTAGTGGGTGCAACTGCTAAATGGTTAGTGTTTTTATTTATAGGCAACAACTATTTACAATGAGGCATCTGGTTCCACTAAGAATTCCTGTTACATAATTGATAATGATAGAAACGACGAACGAGCCACCTGTAACTTTAGCAATATGATGTGGTGAACCATTGACTCTTTAAATACCAGTTTGGTTATTCATCTGGTTTATTGGTTTTGTAGCGTTGCATGTAAAATTTGAGATGCGTATTAGACATGTTACATATGAATACGATTCATTGCTTGAGAATTCCATATGCATAGAAATCGTTGAGCAGATTTTCTTAAAACAGAACTGGGTATTTATATCCATATTTTAATTTTACAAATTTATCGATAGTGTTTCTTAATTTAAATTACTGTGTGGCCTTAGTCCTTAGTTATTGTATTTTTTTGCTTTTTTCCGGAAAATTCAGAAGGAAAGGTTCAGGCATGATATCTAAATTAACTAATGGACTCTCTTTTAAGGTTTTTAATGTATAAATTAGTGTTGGTTCTATTAAATGAGAGTCAGTTATATTGCTTCTGAGATTAAAAAAACAGACATGAATATCATCATGAATGGTTTCTTTAATCATTACAAAAGTGTAACAGTTACTATACATACATATATATTCAACAAAAAATATATAATTTCAAAATCACAACAACGATACATATTCCTTTATTTCTTCTTTTTTAATGATTAAAGTAGAGAAGAACGGAACCCCTAATGTAAGCCCAAAACGAAAGAAAAATGGAAATGTTGCTGGGTCGGTTCGATTGAGCTTGTTTATGGACGGTTTAAGTTGGTTTAAATATATCAAAGCTTGATATTTGAATATCACTTTTTAATTTTCTGGAGATAATGAATCAAAACAACAACACCTTTGGTTCTATAACCCTTTTTTGATAGTATATTTAATAAATAGAGTAAATTTAATGTATTTCATTACATATAATATGTAACAATGTTTTAAGATAACAAAGTGAGCATTTCAAAGAACGTCACAAAAGTAGTGTGTGCATTAGTTCAATTCTTTTGCATAATTGATATGAATACTTGTACTTAAAATAATATCAATTATATCAATTTGTAGAAATATTCTAAATTTACCTTATACGAAGGTTTTATTGTTGACATTGTTTTTATTTATTTCGTTCTGCCAAAATTTTGAAACGTTGAAACGTTGAAACGAATTGCTAGTTAGTTTAAAAAAATTGTTAAATTCAATTGAAAGGTTCTGTATATTTCATTTCTACGATAAACAACAGTTTCTGTGATCTACCAAATAATTAGAATAAATCTAAGTATTGATAAGTCATAGATTGCGTTAACAGTTGTCGTCCATGAAGAGGCATAATCAAACAAAGTTCCAAATTTGATTTAAGAAGTGATGTCAAAAGGTTCCATTAACTTAGGATCTTTTTATAATAACTAGAATTGCTGCCTAGGCTTTCACGATCATAATACAAAAAAAAGTACCAATACAAATGGTATCACTAACTAAATGATTAATTAATGTATGTACCACATACTTGCATATGAATAAACATAATGTGTTATGTGTTCCAAACAAAACACTTATATTATACAATAAACGCTCGTATATGATCGATTTGACACTGTGAGCATGTGTTTTGTCGATCACAGTGACTATAAAATAAAGGATACTAACGAAACACTTCCGATTAAATATCAAGTATTAAGATATTTTAAGTGTTGACACTTTAATCCATTCATTTTATAGTAGAAATAAGAGTTTAACACTTTAAGGTAATATATTTATAGATTTATAACACAGTACGGGTCAAATAAATGAGTAAACGTTTAAAGCGCATTTGCAATTTGATAATAACATATTCATAGCATAAGTAAAAAATATTTATTGAAAGC